TCTATCTATCTATCTATCTATCTATCTATCTATCTATCTATCTATCTATCTATCTATCTATCTATCTATCTATCTATCTATCTTTCATATTTCCTGAATGAATGAATGAATGTTTGTTTGTTATAGTAAGTATCAATTTCATTAGAGATCCTCCTTTTCCATTCTAGGAACCAACCTTTTTCTGGTAGCTGCCCATGAGTTTGGCCATTCATTAGGGCTTCAACATTCCAGTGATTTAGGGGCTCTGATGTTTCCAATCTATCAACCAATGGATCCCGGAGCCTTAAGACTTCACCGTGATGATATTGCAGGCATCCAGAGCCTTTATGGTGAGTAGAGATACCCAGCTGAAGAAACGGATTAACAGTCCAGAGTGGTTTGAAAGACTATGAAAAAGACATGCACAATTTTTGAAATGCAATGTTATTGTTCATGCTACATTCTTAGGGACCATCCTGATCAGATATGGAATACTATTTGACATGACCACGAAGAGAGCAACCAGCTTCTAAAAAATATGAAAGCTCTCCTTTTTTTCTTAAGAACTAAATCAGAAATCACATTGTCCAGATTCATTTTCCAATTTAGGATAAACATGTGAGAATGTTGTATCATTAAAATCTAAACATTATCATTTCATACCACCTGCATATAGGCCAAATATGTATTAACCCAGGAGTGGGCTTCAAAAATTTTAACAAGGGGTTCTCTTCCCGGTTGCTGGGTGGGCGTGGCCATGGTGTGTGTGGCTTAGTCCACCGCCTGCACCACAGCAAGGGGAGGTATTTTTGCTCTCCCTGTGCTCCGGAGGCTTTCCTCAAGCCTCTGGGAGGGTGAAAATGCCCTCCCCAGGCTCCAGAGGCCTTCTGGGGGCCATGTGGGCCTGTTTTTGGTCTTCCCAAACTTCTGGTAGGCCCATTTTTCTCCCTCCCTGAACCTCTGCGTGTGTCCTGCATCCAAAACGAGCCATGTGGGTACTCCTGGGAGGCGTGGGGTGGGCCAGCCAGGAGTGGGATTTGGGGGTTCTCCAAACTGCACAGATTCTTAGCTAGAGGTTCTCTCACACCCCCTGCGAACCCCCCAGCAGCCCATTCCTGTATTAATCATATGAAAGTGGTTGAAAAGATATATAATATGATGTCTACACCCCACCCACCCGCTTCATGTCAACCGGAAGAAATTTTCTTGAAAAAGTTTGTAAATCCCACTTGTTTTTAATTTCTTCTCATGCTCTTTTTTTCAAGGAGCCCCTGGAGAGGATGATGATGAGAATGAGGATGTATTGGAAGACCCTACAACTGCCCCAACAGAAGTGCCATCAACAGAACCATGCCACCCTGACCAAGCTTTTGATGCTGTGACTTCTCTTAGAGGAGAAACCATATTCTTTAAAGACAGGTAAATGTAGTGCAATATTCTGAAGCCATCTTTCTATCCCAGATGCCAAGGATTANCTTTGGCGTTTAGTCATGCTGGCCACATGACCAAGGAGACGTCTTCGACAGCGCTGGCTCTTTGGCTTTGAAACGGAGATGAGCACCGCCCCTAGTATCAGGAACAACTAGCACATATGTGCGAGGGGAACCTTTACCTTTACTTTAATTATTGTTATTGCTTACAACAAAGGCTAAGATGGGGAGATTCATTCTGAAATAGGAAAACTGCATATAAGGGGGGAAATCTAATCAATTTAATTCTATTTCAGAAATACATACAACATTATTATCCTGAATCAGATTCAACATCTGTGATCAAAAGCAAAGCCAAGAATGGCATTGCTCCAGAAAAAATACGGCAGATGCAGAATTTCTTGGGGTTGAAAGTGACTGGCAAATTGGATGCAAGCACTTTGGATGCTATTAAAAAACCCAGGTGTGGCATTGCTGACATAGGAGAATACAACATGTTTCCTGGTTCACCTAAATGGGCAAAGAAAGCACTGACATACAGGTAAGAAGTGAAAGCCTTTTCTTGAATTTAAAATGCCACTTGAGGATTATTAAGACCACAGAGAATTTTATAGTAGCTTAGACACTGACAAATGCATTAACACAGAAGCTTTTGTATATTACACCTCCTGATTTTTTTTTAGCAAGAATAGAATTTCATTGAAGGATACTGATAGGGTGTAAAGTATTATTAGTGAATAAATCCAATACTTGACAGCAAATGAAGATGACATAAAATCCCACCATTGTTTATCTTTTTTTACTTTACTGCCAAGTTCAGATGAAATTATTGAGGAAACAAAAAATAAATAAAAGTAGAAGAGAAATAAAATAAAATACCTTGGAAGATCCGTGGATGGCAGGTTACAACCCCAAGCAACTTTCCACTTCATCCTAGTGCTTGAAGTCTTGCTTACAAGCCTCAACATACCACAATCATATGGTCCTTCAGGATTTATTGGTCATATTAATAATGATTTCTCCTGCAGAATGGCTAGTTCACCATATTTGAATCTTTCTCTGTAAATCCAAACTAGAGATTGTTGTTGTTGTTAGTTGCAAAGTCATGTCTGACCCATCATGACCCCATGGACAATGTTCCTCCAGGTCTTTCTGTTCTACCATCTCCTGGAGTCCATTTAAGCTCATGCCTACTGCTTCAGTGACTCCAT